GCCTAACAGCTGATGACCTCTTAAGACTTCCAGCAGATGGAGGAATTTCTTTCACTTGTGTTGGACCAGGTCACTGAACAAGAAAGAAAAACAAGAAATACATCAGAAGATCAGGTTCACTGGACATGGAACAGAATCCAAATTTTCAAGAGGCCCTCACTCTCATGGGCATGGATAACTTAGTTACTCCAGCTGTATACACAAATAGAAAGCGGTGTGGTGGGCTAAAATACCCAAAACCTACAAATAAGCCTAATAAATGTGTTTTTGACTCATCTTTATCTTTTTCTAAAGAATCTTTCAAGGACAGTTCAGAAGATGGTCTTGAAAAGAATTATCCAAGATGGCTCACTAGCCAAAAATCTGACTTTTTTTTTTTTTTTTTTCTGAAATCTGATCTTAATGTTTCACAGGTAACTAGTATTCCTGATTTTAAATACCCAGTCTGGCTCCAGAATCAAAATTTGTAGGGCCGGGGATATAGCTCAGAGGCACAAGTGCCTGCCTGGTAAGTGCAAGGTCCTCAGTTCAATTCCCAGTACCAAATAAAAAAAACCCTCAGAGAAAGCAGACTTCTCCCAGATTTAAAGACCCAGTCCAAAATGGGTGTCTGAAATGAGCAAACACTTCTCAGATGAAGTATAAATGGCAAGTAAATATATGAAAAAATGCTCAACATCACTAGTAGTTCCAGAGATGCAAAGTAAAACAATGCTGAGATTCCATCTCACTCCACAAAGAATGGCTATCATCAATAACAAATGTTGGTGGGGCTGTGGGGAAAAGGAACACTTCTCCACTGTGGATGGGAGTGTAGACTGGTGCAACCACTGTGGAAATCAGTGTGGAGATTCCTCAAAAAACTAAAACTAGACTGGGCATGTGGTGGTGCACACCTGTAATCCCAGTGCTTGGGAGCCTGAGTTAGGAGGATTGCTGCACATTCAAGGCCATGTTAAGCTACAAAATAATTTCAAGGCAAGCCTGAAATGAATAGTAAAACTCTGTCTCAAAATAGACAAAACAAAATGAACAAAACAAAACAAAACAAAAACTACTCATTAATAGCTGACTGTGGTGGCCCACAGCTATAATCCCAGCACTCAGGAGGCTGAGGCAGGAGGATTGTTGTGAGATCGAGACCAGCCTGGGTTACAAAGTGAGCTTAAGGCCAGCCTGAACTGCATCGTGAGACTGTCTCAAAAACAAAACAAAACAAAACAAAAAACACTCATTAAGTGGCTGCCACAATCAGATATTGAGGGGACCAGAGTGTTGGTAAAGAAAGGAAAATCTCTAGAGTCTTTGAGCTGGAGTAAGGGCCTGAGAAACCCAGTGTAGCTATTTGTGTGATTCATTTGTCCACAAAACTAATATTCACTGAGCACTTATTATGTGCTAGGTTTTATTCTCAGGACTAGTCTTTACAGGACTCTGCCTTTAAAGAACTCAGTCTTATAACAAATCCTTTTTTCTTTTTGGTACTGGGGATTGAGTCCAGGGCCTTTTGCATCACATGCTATTTTTTTTTTTTT